GCTACGTCCTTCAGCAAGTCACAACTTCAACCAATAATACCTGTGCTGCAGGTCATTCCTGACTCACTTCCTATTAGTCTTCCTCATATACTGAGCTCAATGACAGGTCTGTTTTCATTGTTCCGCCTTTTGGTTTTCTTGTTTTACTTGCTTGCCATGCATATTTGTTTCTGGAAATATTTCAATACAAGAATTCAAGATCGTATTAGCTACGCACTACGGGGGAAGGGTGGTAGGTTGAGTCTCGACTTAAAGTGATTTCCATTTAAAAAAGTTGTCTATCAATGTTGTCTCCGATAAATTATCCCTTAGGTTGGGTATAGAGGAACATGTTGAGGCTAAAAGTGATGAGCATCCGTGAGCATATTCTCCATGAGAATTTGAGACTAACAAGCTTATTTTTTTCCTGGAGTAAGAATGTGATTCTATCTTATATAAACTTTTATTAGGAACTCATTTGTGATTTGAGTAATCTCTGCTTGTTGCCTCCTTTTACCATTAATTATTGGCTCAAAGTTCCTATGCTTATTACAATACTATTTTGTTGATTAACCTGCTGCTATTTTGCCCGCATTTAGGTGTTCTGGTGGCTAATTTGGGGAAGGGACTTGGACTTCCTCTGCCACAGACAGTTGAGAAGTTATCACGTGATCTTGTTGCGTCAACAACTTATCTCTCTGTAAGACAAGTTTGTTGCGTCAACATTTGATATTTATGATGTTTATAGTGTGTTATTTCAAGGTTATTTTCTGTAGCATTGTATGTTATCATTAATATAATTAATACACTGTACTTCTCTTGAAGTCACTTAAAGAGGGTTGGTTGTCTTCGAATCTTTCATGTTGATGTTGCATACTTATATTCTTATGAAGTGTCGTTGAATCTTGTGAGAAAGACTTACTGGTTAAAGTCACAGGTTCTTGCTGATATATTACCAAGAGAAACACTACTGTGGAAGCTACAAATGATTAGATCAGCTTCTCCATATGCCAATTCACGTCTCCATGCTGTAAAAGCTCAAACGCTGATACTTTCCAGGTCTATTATTTAATTTTCATTAAATACTTGTGATCTGCTGGTGACACATCAGAGCAGTTTACTGCTTGTCATCTTTGTTGCGTGACGGGGCTAAATTCTCTCTTATTTGTCTATTAGTGGAAAGGATCAGTTGCTACCTAGTCAAGAGGAAGGTGAAAGACTCCAACGCACACTTGCAAATTGTGAGATTCGTATGTTTGAGAACAGCGGCCATTTCCTCTTCTCGGTAGGTGATCTCTTGGTGTGTTTGGGTGCATCTTATTGGTGATTGTATAAGCCCTGATAAAGTAAATGAATTTTCTCTCTGCTACTTTTTCAAGTACAGTAACCAACATCCCCAAGTGTTTGGACAAGTGTCCTACTTATGAGATACTGGTTTGAGCAATTATCTTGGATAAGCATTAGGGCCTCCCTACAATGGCTAAATTCTCAATGATAAATTGTGTTTTATATAACCGATTTTTGTGAGTATAAAGTACCTGAAATTCAATCAAATGGTCATTTTGTAAGTTTTTATTTTGATGCATAAATTTGTGCTTCCAATCCATGGCAGGAAGATGATTTTGATTTGGTAACTGTCATCAAGGGTACTGGTTTCTACCGTCATTCCAGACACCGAGACTATGTTTCTGATTACATACCACCCACGCGTTCTGAAGTCCAAAAAGTAGTTGACTCAAACAGGTGGGTGATATTCCCCTTCCCTTTTTTCTTCTTCTTCTTCAAGCCAACTCCTAATATCTTTAACAATTTCTGATCACTATCCATTATGCCTAGATGGTTATCCATAGCCACTAGCCCAGTGATGCTCTCAACTTTAGCAGATGGGAAGATCGTGAGGAGCCTAGCTGGGGTTCCTTCAGAGGGTCCTGTATTGTTTGTTGGTTATCACATGTTACTGGGGTTTGAATTGGCTCCCATGGTAACCCAGATGTTGGTAGAAAGAAACATCCATCTGCGAGGAATAGCACATCCAATGATGTTTATGAAATTGAGAGAAGGAAGGCTACCTGATATATCAAATTACGATACATTAAGAGTTATGGGTGCAGTTCCTGTCTCAGGAAGCAACTTTTACAAACTGCTTTCTTCAAAATGTCATGTCCTACTCTATCCAGGTGGAGTGCGTGAGGCTCTTCACAGGAAGGTAACAAATTTATCGTCTTGTTCAGTTTAGCATATTGTTGTGTGGTGTAATAATCTTTTATTTTTTGTTTTTCTGGGAAGACTAGATAAGCCTAGAGTTCCAAATGCTGTAGTGGATCAATCCCGCAAAACTGAACTTATACTTTTTTCCAGGGGGAAGAATATAAGTTATTCTGGCCAGAACAGTCAGAGTTTGTGAGGATGGCAGCAAGATTTGGAGCCAAAATCGTACCTTTTGGTGCGGTTGGAGAAGATGATATTGCCAACGTAAGGCTACACACCTTGCATTTTATGCCTTTTTGAGAAAGCAATTACAGGCATCAAAATAATGTCTCTTACATATGCTCTCTGGTTGCCCGCCTTTAATTTCTGATTGACATTTTGCACCACTGACCTGTCTTGAGTGATCTCTGTTCTCTCGTGAATAAGTGATTGCCATATATTGTTGTAAGATTAATGATTGTGTGTTGTTTGTTATCAGCTAATTTTGGATTATGAAGACCAGATGAAAATCCCTTTCCTTAAGGGATTTATAGAGGAGATAACGGATGAGGCTGCCAAAGTGAGGTAGTACATCTGAGATGTTATTTCTTTTGTTGATTTCCATTTTCTGCATAGATTAGATTAATTTTGTCATCTTAATTATAATATGGATGTGATGTTGTGATAACAGAGTTGGGCATGATGGGGAGGTAGGAAACCAAGATGTACACTTTCCAGGAATTATACCAAAAGTTCCTGGCAGGTTCTATTATTATTTTGGGAAACCAATTGAAACACAAGGTATGTATAATGTACGTAGATGGAAGACACATACATGTATACATAGATGTATTTAATTGATGTCTTGAATTGAATTGATGATGCATGAGGTGTTTGAGTTTGTAATGTAATTATATTGTGAAATTGTGATTGTATTGAAGGGAGGAAGCAGGAATTAAGAGACAGGGAGAAAGCTCATCAAGTGTATTTAGAAGTGAAGTCAGAGGTTGAAAAATGCCTCGCTTATTTGAGGGAGAAGAGAGAAAATGATCCTTACAGAAGTATCTTTTCTCGGCTACAATTCCAGGCCACGCATGGCTTTTCATCCCAAGTCGAAATTCCTACTTTTGAACTTTGATGAACTGATACGCATACATACATACATATATATTCTTAGTGCAAGGCACTGGCAATGGCACTGGCACTGGCACTGGCAGGCCATACACATCCTTGTTCTCCATTGCTTGCTATTCAACCTCCTCACTTTTCAACACAGACGACAGTCAGTCACACAACACAGGCCGTTGAAGAAGACGCCAGATTTGAGAAAAAACAAAAAAATTCAAAAAATTGTACGTGGTTTGGTTTCCTATCTTTTGTAAAATAGAAATGCTTGTGTATTCGGGCCAATTATATTGGAAAAAGTCATTCTTCCTTCCACCTCCTCGCATGTTTTAATGAGCTGGACAATGAAAATACACAAAGGAGATCCATCGTCAAGGGTGAGATTAACACTCTCCGCTCTCAGAGAAAGCAAGCAATTAAAACCAGAGAGGTAGCCAACTTTAAGTCCATTTCAAATTGGGACTGCCTGCCACCTTTTTTTTCCTTTCCCTTTTAGAGGTTTAGGGATCGGGATTATAACAAATTTAAAATACCAGGATATGTAATTGTAAAAATTAAAAAGATAAAGACTAACATATCTTAAGAGTCTAATCACATTGTGCTGAACTGTAATTAACCATTGATTTAATTTAATTTTATGCGTTGTAGTGCAGACTATAATAGTAGTCTGAGTGTCTGAGTCTGAGTCAATCCCACCAAACGTTTCATGTCCTTTCATCTTTACGACAAATCAATCAGACATCAAATCCGCTAAGAAAAGAATCAGAAATTATTGGCCCAACACAACAGGATGACTTTTGACAGAGGACTTATTTGGGCCATGAACCCTTGTGCCCAAAACTATGGGGCTTATTTGAATCCACCACAATCTTTCTTTCATATTTCATTTACGATCCATGATTCAAAAAATTTATTTTATTTTATTTATGCCACGAACATGGAATCAAACGCCACCATCCAGACATTGAGAAAAAAATATAAAAGAACCAAATCCCACATATGAATCATGATGAAGCGGTAGACGCCATTAGTGTTAATTCAGACAATTAATTGTTCATATTCATGCATGATGCTGTGCATTTTATCTAATCTTCAGTGATCACCCCCCCTAGAAAACAAACGACGAAATCCTATTTATTTATATATATTAAAAAGGGAAAATAATGGAAAGTTATGCATGGTTGAATGAAAACTGACGATTGGTCGAAAAACAAGGAACAATATTCTCCCATAACCGTGTCAGCGAGTGGGAGGTAGGAGGAGGGGGAGGAAACGTGGTGTACGGCCCTAACTCTAACCAGGTGGCCCCACCGCCACCACGTACAAACTGAACCACCACTGACGAGAGCATAATTGCGTTGGGGTTGGTCGGCCATATACCCATCGTAACCGCGCCGCATATTGCAGTGGTCAGTGGCTTGCTTTGCTCAGAATTCACAGGTGTAATTTCCTAACTACATTTAACCCTCCATCTCCATTGGAGGAGGTTTTGCTTGCCCTTGCTACCAAAATTTACATCCATATTCATATATGTACAACGCAAATGAGGCAATATACATATACATACATGGCATGACATGCATCCATACACACAGATACAGTCCCCTATTTTTCCGCTTTGATAATGTAACCACACACACAGAGATCGGAGCCAGAGACACAGAGAGAGTAAAAAACAAATTGAGATTAATGCACCAAAGCTGCGAATATAAAAACTAAAAATTGATTCATATATTCATCATGTAATGAGAAATCAAGCTCAACATAAGTTTGAAACTGAACCCTAGCTAGCACAACTTTTCTAAATTTCTGTAGCTAATTTCTCAACCAAAAACAGAAATAAAAGAGACCACTTTTCCATTTTCGATAGCTTTCAACATCCAAGCTCCAACCACACTCCGTTTCAAAACCACACCCACCAAGGTAACAAGTTTTTGAAAAGAGCTTGAAAATAGAAGAAGAGTAGAGAGAAACATTGACAGAGATGCAAGGAGTGAGCACCGTACGTTCGTATATATATATGAGCAGCTGTGAGAGCGGCGACCATGGATAAACTGATTATAGGCGGAGGGAGAGGTCAAGGCTGTGAGTGTGGTCATGAGGAGCGACGGCATTCTGAGGATGAAGATGATAGTGATGGGTAGGGGGTGCAGTTGAGAGAGGTTGAGGTTGAGGGGGGATACCTTCAGTGGGGGCATGAAGGGGAAGGGGAAGAGGAAGAGGAAGAGGAAGAGAGGAAGTGGAGGAGGCGGTGCTGAGGTCGACCGCCCAATAAAAAGGTGTTGGTTGGTTGTCCTGCTGCTGCTGCTGCATAATATTATGCTTCATGTCCATGTCCATGTCCATAAAGAAGCTGCTGCTGTAACTGTTGCTGCTCATGTTGGGTACGGCTGGTGGGTCAAGAAGCCGTGGCTGCTGCTGCTGCTGCTGATGCTGGACCTGGTGAAATACTTGATATTGATGAGGCGGAAAATGCTGAGTAGGGTCATCATCATGATGCTGAATCTGGTCATGAGGATGATGATGTGGCACATTCAACGGCAAATGAAGATGAGAAGGAGGAGGAGGTGGTGATGGTGGGGCATTCAAGGGCGCATGGTGGTGAGGAGAGTAGGTGGGCCCGGAGGGGTAGCTGACGCCGGCTACAACTGATCTGCGAGCAGCGGCTCTCTCTCGCTTGTGGGCGTTCTGGTGTCCTCCAAGTGCTTGAGAGGTGTAAAACTGGCGGAGACAATAGCGGCATGGGAACAGGCGATTTGGTCTAGCCGATAAGGAAGAACCAGCGTGGCCAGTGGCTGCCTGATGTTGGGACCTTTTATTTGTGGGCATGCCCATGGGTTCTCTTGGTGTTGGTGAAGATGATGGTGATGAGGTGATTGGGGATGTTAGGTTCATATGAGAGGAAGAAGAAATATGATGAGGTGGGTTGGTCTGGTCTAGGAAGTCATGATACATCCCTTCGTCTGCCTCCATTGTTGATTCAGCTAATAAATTACCAGCGGCAGAGGCAGGCCAGAGTCTGAGAGAGATGAGGTTTATGGGGAGAGGGTTTTAGGTGTGGCCAGCTAAAGGCATATATATATACAGAGAGAGAGAGAGAGAGAGAGAGGAGTAAGAGAATAAATGCAGACAAGGTGCTGAGGCCATTTGTCTCTAGTGATTACAAAAACTGTTACAGCAGCCAGCAGCAGCTGGGAAGGGAGGATATTGATTGGAGGCTACATCTTTGAGCCAAACGACGGAATTACCCTCCGTCGTACAGATAACGATGTCATTGCCATTGGCTGCTATATATTATTCCTTTTTACACACACACACACACACAGAGCTCACCTACAGGCTACAGGCTACAGGCTACAAGTAGAAAGAAGAATATAATACATTCACGTGTATATAAAGAAGAAGAAAAAGAATTCCAAATTAGTTTTAATGCAAGAAAAATAAACACAGAAAAGCGATTTTGAAAAAGTGAAAAATAAGAGATTGTGCAAAGTGAAGTGATGGATGAGTTGAATAAGTTACACAAATATATGTAGTAGTCTGTAGAGGGGGGATGGGTGTTTTAACTTTTAAGTAACTAGCTAGTGTAGTAGAAGCGATCATGAATATGGAGCTATATATAATATTATATTACTACCATTACCCAAACTCAACTCAAGTTACACTGAACAAGTTTAGCTACCTACCATTGAAAAGTGTTATGGTTTTTTTAAGTGGGGGAAATTCGGAAAATAATGTATTATTGTTATTATGTAATGTGGGAAGGAAGAGAATAGAGAATCAAAATGGAGGATGGATGTTGATTGTTTCTTTCAAAGGACAACAACTTCAACTCATCAGTGTGAGTGTGAGTGTGATTGGTGCCACTACTACTGCTACTACTAATTAATTACTTAATTACCCATCTCCTTTCCTTTCTTCACTGCACTGAATCACTCTTATCTTATGTTATGATGTCAATCTCTCTCTCTCCCTCTCTCTCTTAAGTTTGACAGCAAGTGCAGTGCAGTCCGGCAGCAGGTACAAGCAGCAAGCAAAGCACCATCAGCATGGGACTGACGACGGCTATGGTATATAGCTAAAGGCTAAGCTATACCTATAATATTAATAGCTTTGCTTAACCCTCAAGGCGACGTCAGTCAGACCCCTCCTAGGCCTCCGTACATACATCTACGCCCAATGCAAGGCGCCAACGTCCATCTATTATACTTTTTGTTTTTTTTGTTTTTTTTTTTCCATTGCTGGAACCTGGCTCATGAGAGAGAGAGCAACCCCTCCCCTCCCGCATGTCATTTTACAACATTCAATTTCAAACACACAATAATATTTCTTCCCTTCCCTTCTAATATTATTCCATCTCCCATATGATATGCATATACGTAATCAAATTACAAATGCAACACACACACACACACACACGGGTAGGGTACATAAATATATTTGTATATTTATTACCAAGGGGAAGGGCCTCGTCAACTAATGTGATGGTTGAGAGCTAGTGACGTGTTTAATGTGTATGGTTACGTATGAAGTAATGGTTAAACGTCCATCAGGCTCTAACCAGCCCTCCCACAGTCCCACTGAAGAAGAGGCTACGCTAAGCTAATTCTAATTTTATTAGTTATTTAATTTCTAACCCTAAACCCAAAATGCTCTTCTTCCTCAATAAACCCCTTTCCTCCTCTAATATATAATGATGGGATGGGAAGTCTGTTTTCGTCACTTCCCAAACATGCCAATTGCATGCAGCGCAGATACCTGCCTGCCTGCCTGCCTGCCACTTGTACCAATACAATTCATACAGACTACACTCTCTGTCTCTGTCTCTGTCTGTGTCTCTGTGGGCTTATTCTTTCCAGGTGTCATGCTGCCAATGGTACTTCATTTTAACCATGTACGATCAAATCTATAATCACAAATTCATTCAGATGAAACCAAATTATACCAAAAAGAAGAAGGAAAGAACCCAACGTCAAATCAATACAGCGTAAACCTAGGAGATTTTAAAATGGGAATTAGTTTCCTCAAACTCAAACCACTTGAATTCGCTCTCTCTCTCTCTCTCTCTCTCTATCAAAGAGAGGAACAAAGGAAGGGCACAAATGGAAAATCACACAAATTTATATACACCCAACCCAACCAACAAAACGCTATAAGCAGTAATTGCTCAGACACCCACCCTTACCATAAAACAACTCGATCTTGCTTTGCTATCTATCTCTACCTTTTTATGGGCGGGCTGGGCTCTACCTATATATAAAATAAGCGTAATGCCCGGCCCATCCTTCACTCCTAAGTCGATTTCATTCATTTTTTACTAGTTACTAACTAGATCCATCACCACCAACAGTTAACAAACAATGAAGGCTAAACGAAATTGAACCCAATTCAACCTTTATTTTTTATCTGTACAAGGTAGAACTTACACAGGGTTAATGCCATTCGAGATTAAATGACCAACGAAACATATGCGAGAATATGTACACACCAGGCAGATAACTAAATAAATATATAAAAAAAGGATGATAATGGAAAGATATTTTGTGAGCTCAATTAGACGTTTCAGTTGATGACAAAGTATTTCGGATCATCTGGGAAATGGTATTCCACGTTCAACTGCCATTAAACAACCAAAGAAAAGACACAGCCTAGTTAGCTCAGGCAACATATATCGCAACACAATAGAGAGATAGAGAGATAGAGAGATGCATGACATGACCAACTATAAATATTTACACTTACCTTCCCCTCATCGGCGTCTGAGTGGCGTTGGGGGAACACAACCCTCAAGTCATTGTATAAGTAGAATCTGCGCTCCCCATCCATGTCTAATCCCGTTCTTTCTGGTGTAGATAGGGGATCTGATTTGCATCTCTGAACCGACCTAGAACATTTTTTAGGAAAAGGGCATATGAAACGGAGATGAAGTGCATAGCGAAGACCACCATTACTGTTTTGATTTACCCTCGAACAACCATGTACTTGTTTCCTGTCAGTTTCATGGCAGCCATCAACCCAGTTGCGCTCCTTCCCATTACTGCTTCGGTACTCATCATCATTAAAGCTCTTCTCAACAATGAACGAACGAGTGCATACCCTTCCTGTTTTAGGGGATAACTTGGACATATCCCCCTCATCGATTGAATCCACTAAATCAGAGCACTCACTTCTAATTTCGGTTTTCTGATCTACACATCTTGTTGTTTGCACAACGTCTACTCCAGCTGTATTCTTTAATTCCTTCTTGTCTATGACTTTTGCACACAAATCAGTCTTCCCTTGTTTTGACTGTGTAGAAGTTGGGCTACATGAAGCTAAAGTGACCTTCTGGCGCAAGAAGGTCTACTTTGATGCGAACAGATATGAAAAGATATCGAACAAAATGAACAATTAATTAGCCACAGGAACATGGTATATCATAAGCAACATAACAAACATAATTTTGAAGTCCATAACTTTCCCATTCATCACATTTATAACAACCGAAATCTTTTGAAAAGCTATCCAATAACTGCAGCTTAAAGACAATATCATTTGAAAGTTGAGATTTACTTTTAAGCATGCACGGTATAAAGTTAGAAAATATATCTCCATATATGTGTATTTATGAATGGATTTAAAGTGAGATTCTAGACAATGATCATCAACTTAAGTTCCAAGTTGCACAGTTGTTCCCCTTGGATGTACGACCAAAACTCTCTGCTATGAAATACTATGATCTTATAGTAAATTTTTCAAAAAATTGCATTTAACACAGAATTTGCTAGTGTTACAATATGGTGGCGACAAGATACTGTAAGGGGAGTTCAGCTGACCACAAGCAACTTACTTTGGTACCAGCTGGCATGTCACTTAAATCGTAGTTGCAAAGGAAAGTATGAATAGGTGTCTTCTCTGGATTGCTTAGAACCTGCATAAAGCAAGTACAGAGAGATTAATTTAATGACTAACAAAAATCACCGATCGCAATGTAACATGCTACACAAAGTGAGCGATTTCAACAAATTTTGAAAGAGAAGAAACAAAATACCAGTTGTATACGGCCCTTCACAGGAATGCGCAGGCGGCTTGTGACAATCTGTGAACCATCATTGCTAAGGCCTCGTTTCAGCTTTTGTCCTCCACTCCTATTCAATGCAGAATTTCCCGCAAGGTGTATGGATGCACAATACAATAAATAGCAGTCTCCTTCTACACTAGTTACTGAAAAAGGAAGCTTCTGTGATTGCGGAGAAAAGTTTCCCCCAGTGATGCTTAGTACTGCCAGAAAACCATCGATTCTCTACAATGTATAAGATTCCAGCAGTTATAACATTGCAATAACGAACAATGCACAGGATTACTTACACAACAGAAATATTCACACTAACCTGGCTGGGTTTCCCTGATAAGAATCGACCAGACAGTAGAGATTCTTCAAATGAACCAACCAAGGATCTCCGAACAGGAAGTCCACTCAAACTTCTAACAAATCTCATGCATTGGGACCCTTGGGACAAAGAATAACTTACGCCAGTACCATTTTCTAGAGAAGATGGATGGAAGTCCTTCTGAAAAATATCAACATCTTCAAATAATTTACTAGCAATCCTAAACTCCCCTACTTCAGGGGAAAATAGAATGTCTGGATCAGACTTGTCATGTGTTTGTTTTACATTCCTTAAGGTTGAATGACAATCCTCCAACTCTTTGTTAGCAGTCCTGCAGCCCCCTACGGTTTTAAATCTTTCAGAGAACTTGGGGCCAAGAGGTGACAACGAATGTGAAGGCGAGATCACTTCTTGTGGAGATATGAATATTGCCCCACTCTGGGATTTTGCATTAGTCGGCTCTCTCAAAAGTCTGGGTGAAGATGAATAACTATTATGAGGTAGGGGATCCTTGTTTTCCAGCAAAGGGCCATCAGTGAAAATAACGGATTCCATACTACTAATATCATGTGGCATGTTCTTCTGCTCCAAGCAACTAGATAGAGACCAAGTTGGCATTGTAAAGTGATTTTTGCCCCCAACATTTGCTTTCTTATAATCATGTGCAATAGATGCACTGAAATTTTCACTCACGGTGGGAGAATTTGTTCGAGAATTTCTGCAACCAATGTCTAAACGATCACCTTTAAACTGATCTGGAAAAAGCATACTAGTCAATGGTGACAACAACCGCTTCCTGACTAGTGATCCACTGTTCACAACATCATTAGTTGTAACATTAACTGCAGAAGAAGAGTGAACATGACCAGATGAAACACCCTTGGAGCCATCATTTAGAGAACTTGTTCCACTTGATTCAAATCCTACAATCCTAGAAGCAGGGGTCTGAATATTCCGCCCATTTTTCGGAGTGATCTGACCAGATTTATCAACAGAACCAATTGTCAAACCATGAACATTGTTGGTAACTTCTGTGGTCCTTCTCAATCTAAATGAATCATCAGGGAACCTTGAAAATTCCAGAGAGGCTCTTGTCTGGTAATCTCCTAAAGAGGAGCATAATGGGTTTCCCCCCATTCGACTTGCAGTCCCACCATGCATCCCATCCATATCACACGTGCTCATACTAGAAAACCGAGGCGGGCTTTGTAAAAATGAGCCCAGAGATGCAGCTAGTACTTCCTCAGAAGTTCCAGTCGAGGGAACTTGAGGCAATCCCATGTCCAATTTTCACAGGAACTAATTCCTAACTCTTTTATTTTTATTTTGTTTTCTTTTTAGGATGGGGGTTGAGGGAATAGTATCAGATCAGTTCATCAACTAACAGAGCTGTTATTTCTAATCCAACAAAAAAAAATGAAAATCCAACTTCTTATGCCATCAGTATAACTGATACACACCTAAATTTCTCCCTTCAATTGAAAATATAACTGCTCTGCCGAAGAAACTACTAGGTACCTACCAAAGGCAGCCAGAATTCAAACATTTGAGTTACCACTCTCTCCAAAGACATATTGAAGCGCATTGAAGTACTGTGAAGATCACGAGTAGCACAGATCTTCAGACCTCCAAACCAGCAAGTCATGAAACTCACATAATTCATGATTTCCTAAAGAATCAGTACCTACGCCTGAAACAATATTGACATGAATTAGTTTTTAAACATTAAACCTTTTCGAAAAAGACGAACATGAGAAAAATATGAGTTTACATTGATCAGAAGTTGAGCCAATTGAATCCAACAATTCCAATAGATCAAATGCACATACACAACAATATACAAACACTTATCGCATAGCAAATTTTGTGTAGTCGATCTAAGACATATTAAACAAGCGTCCAAGCATAATCAACCATTGATCTGAGGAAGAAGTATATGTGGTATAGAAGAGGTTTACTAGAAAACAAGTATCAATGAGAAAGTACAGAAGGGGTTACTTGGTAGGGCTCACATTCAGCCCATCCCCTCCTGCATCATCCACTTGGAAGCAACTTAGACTATGATTTTGGACCAAGAGCAAGAGTAAACAAAATCTAAGCAGAAGGAAACTAAGTCTGGCATAATGGAAGCTTATGATCATATAGGATTATAAAAAGCAGACAGAGAAGGTCATTTGACTCATTTTACTAATAACATTTTCTTATAAACAAGGCAGATAGGTGATGACGATAAAACCAGAATCCGATAAAACACCGATTATGAGTAGACGCACCAAGAAAAGCTGTGATCAAACAATCGAGCAGATGAATCATCTCAAAAAATCTTCCATGCAAACTGATGAGAAATCAGATCCTATAATGAATAAAAGCGATGATGATGTTAATGTTTGTGAACAGGGATACGGTTGAAAAAGAAGAAAACGAAGAAAAAGAAAAAGAAAGAGGAAGAGGTAGGGTTTGGTAGGGAGCGAGAGAGAGGATTGAAGAAAAGGATTGAAGGGGTTGGAGTTTGCGGTTGTAGGCAGACAGAGTCTGAGAGAGGGAGAGAGGCCCAGTTTATAATCCCAAAATACGAGCGTCATCACCATTTCCATTTCTTTTTCTCGGCTGTAATTTTGAAAACCAATTAATATTAAAACACGCATATAATCCATCCGCACCATTGCGTTGCCCTTGCTCTAATCTCTCTCTCCACTACTCCTTTTTTAAGTTTTTTTCTTTATTTTTATTTTTTGTAACTTAACCACGCTTTCAGCCCCTTCTCTCCCTCACTGTTTTAAAAAATCTTTACCTGCCTTTCACTTTCTCTGTCCTTCGGGCGGGACCACCAGCGGGAGTATTTGTATTTGCCTAGCCTAGCAAGTGTCCTCCGGAGAAAAACTTCCCTATTTCTGTTTTTTTGTTTTATTGTCCATCTTTCTTACTATTTTCTTTCTTTTACTCAACAAAATAAAAAATGGAAATTTTGATTTCAAATCTCCAAACCAATGGCCTACAAATTTTGAGATAATTAATTACCCATAAATCCACATAAATTTATTTACAGTTAGCAGCGGCCTACAAAGCCATAGCATAACATGTTTGCCTTATCTTCAATGTGAAGGCCCATCCCATTAAGTTCCCCTTATCATTCAAATAAGTCAAAAAGAATAACACCAAATGGGAAGAAAAAAAAATACCATTGAATGGGTCCAATAGAATAGATACACGGTACACCATTAATAGCCGTTTCTGATATCATTTTTCTCTTTTTTTTTACTTAATTATTTTTTTATTTGGCTTCGAATGGAAGGTGTACTTTATCATCATCATGTTCGGAGATATTATCAATTTGCCAAGTAATAAAGAGCATTCAAATTCAATGGCAACAATCATTTCGCATGGAGGGCAATTAGGGCAATTTACAATCAAATTTTATATAAAAGCTTCTGCTCCAAGCTTAACGTGGCAGCAGGTGATTGAGTCTATGTTGACACCTGTAAACTAAGTGCACTCAATCATTCAGTACCTCATCCACTTATCCTGTATCGTTCTTTTGCTAATTCAATTGTTTTTTACTTCCAGTTTCAGAAAAGACGAGAAAAGCTGTTTTACGTACACCAATGTATCAATGTATCAATGTATCAATACACCAAATTACACAAGGGATGCACAAAACCTCAGCCTGCAATCCGCAAATTAAGGGTTGGAGCAGAAAGTGGTTCCAAGTGATGAAAATGCCGCACTATACCATCTCGAACGTTAAAAAGGTCTTGCTGCTGCTTCCATCATCTTCTTTACTCTAGTCAGTTTTTCTATCTCCTTGAGAACCTGAATTCACAGAGAGCAAAGAATCCAAGGGTTTGTCTCCTCAAATTAGTTTGCTTTAATTTCAGATAATCCTATGCATTTCAAAACTAGCCTCCTTACCTCCAAAGCCATGTCTTCAGTGGTTACATCACCAAAGTCATCATAACTTAATTTACAAGCTAGTTCTGCTAGGACGAAACAATGGTTAGAACCATTGAGGAAACATGATTGAGTACATTAAAAACAAGAAAAGGTCACGGAGATATACTTTCAACGGAAATCGTTGCATCAGCTGTTTCATATCCACCTCTGACTTCTTCATATGAAGTACTTAGGTGAGTCAAAACCTGGTTATCATACATCAAAAGTGTCCATTATCAGGAAGATGCAGCTGCGCAACATGGGTTTCTTTTCCACCTCTCCCCCCCACACAATTAAATGGTATAGTCAATTTACTTTCCTTCTGAGGACAAAGAAGCAGGTTGTATACAGTTATAATTTTGAGGAGGAAGAGTTGACCTCTGGATAAGATGCTGAAGCAGATAGGTTGAATGCAGGAAGCTGACTTTGATCTTCGATCACCCCCCTCGCAACCAAGTCTACAGGTATATCAATCCATACGGAGATCCCATATCTCAGAAGAGCCCTATATATGTTCTGAAGTGAGTCAAAATTGCACAACTAGCATTAACCACAATAAATATATCAATAATAATATCAGCAAAGAGTTCTTTGATAATCCTACAGATTAGTTGAACGCTGAACCGCACCATCTCCAGCACAAACCACCAATCGACCCATGGATGATAATTGCTTCAATACTTCCGTCTGCAGAAACATGTCAACTTAGATATACATAAAACGAACCAAATAATCTGCATCGATAAGTCAGCAATCCAATTTTCAGAATATGTTTCATGAGAGCTCTAGTGTTGGCCTCAGGCAGCTTCGTCAGCCACAGATACTTTGTTTACTTGAAGTAATGACAAGTGAACTTCTATTCAAAGTATGGTGTGAGAAAACAACAAATATGTCGAAAACTATCACCTCAGACTCATGAAAACCATTCTTGTCAGTCTCCCTTAGAGATTTGGCAGCAGATTCACCGCCAGCAGCTTCCTCAACCAAACTATCACTGATTATTGAAGAACACAAATTACAGGTTCAGCTGATACATCTAGAGCAAAGAAGCTTATCCTGATCTTTAAAATATATAGCATATATAGGTACCTGTCAAAGTAATAATACCGTAACACATTGGCTAGGAGTTTCCCCAAACTAGTTTTTACGGAGCTCTTCATGCCTTTCCGCCAAAAGGGAGAGGATATGTGTAAGTACAGACTGGATCATCACAAGATTTGAGTATTGAATGCTTTACAATACAAAGCATTAAGTAATGCTTACCCACAAGAAATATGGAAGTTCCTTTGAGTTCGGGGGATATATCCATTGCCTTCTTCTGAATTAAAACTGAACAGTTACAATCAGCACTTTAAACCAGAAGCAAATGAATTAGTTTTGAAAATTCAACCAGCCTAGAATAATAGTCTACCCGTGATCATCATAAAACACGAGCGAATCCATGAAGCCCCTTTTGGTTTTCATAAAAAGTTGAAAGAAAGAAAAAGGGAAAACCAAATTTTAGCCTTGTTAATTGGCATGGGTTTCCATGTCTTGTCAAATCTTATTGTTTCCAAGAGAATGAGAGATCTCACCTTCAATGCAACAGAGGGGTCGGCTACAGAAACCTTGGTTGCTGAACCAACGCCTGTAGAAATTAATATCAAGTAATTACAAATCAAATCAAACTGACCAACGCCAGAACAGAAGCAATTATCAAACACTTGGCATGCGTGAAAGCATAAATCATAAATTCGAGGAAAAATGGAAAATCCAAGAAAAATTATATAAAAGAAAGGGTAAGGGAAGAACTGACTGGAATTGCTGCCATCGGAGGCAGAGCATGACGCTGCGATGGGTTTTCGGAAGTGGGTGCGAGATATAATGGGAATTGAGGAGGTCTTTGTTATCTCACGGCGGCTTGAGAAACTCGAAGCCACCACTTGAGATTGAAAGTGGAGGAAGGGAGTTTGGAAAGGGAGCTTAGAGCAAGAGGAATGGAGGAGGGTCCTTGTTATCTCCATGGCTCACTGTCACTGGCTTCGCTTATTTCACTGCTTGCTTCCTTCCTCGATGGTACACTCAGGAGACTCAGAAGGGAAGGGAAGGGATTATAAAGCGTTGAGTTGTTTACGACTTAAAACAGTCATGTAACTGTCAAAACTGTCATTTCCTTATCCGCCCAGGAGACTGAGAAGATGACACGTTTGTTTTAAACATTTTGAAAAACGACGCCGTCTCCTTACTCATAACGCTAGAACTCGACGCTCTACAGCATAGACCGTCAGGTGCAAACCACGTACGTTTGAAATGGGTTAGATTAAGGTTGGGCCGACTTATAAAGTCCATTCTAGTTCATTTAAAAAATAAATAAATAAACATTCTTGGAGATCATAGAAGCAACGATCAACACACGCCACTGGTGATTTGTCATGGGATGGGACATTTAACAAAATTCTTCATTTGAAGATATATATGATACATCGTGAAGACACAATTTCCGTATAGTTTAGTTCTCATCATAAGCTACAACAAAGGGTGAAGGAAAAGGTTGAGATGAGAAACTAAACAATACACCCAACCAACATATTTACAAACCCGTACTCTGTACCTAACATGAAAACAATGAGACCCAAAACAATCTTAAGGGCAAACCTAAAAAATTCACTGCTTCACCCAATCTTTATGATATCAGCTCCCACCTGCATCCACTGAAGATGTTCAAAATTAGAATTACCAAAAATGATCAATTGGCTGTGATGGTGAAGATAAAGGACTGAACTGTTCCCACATCCACCACCCATCATATATACATCGCCATGCAGGTGCAATTTAATTCAAAGAAGAAGAAGGGAACACCAACTGGTGAGGACATACTGAAAATGGCATGCTCACCTCGGATGGGACTAGAGTGCGAGGCCACTTCAGAAACAGTTGATACTGGTTTCAGGTTTGATAGGGAAATTGGCGTCAATGGAGGTGAAGCAACTTCTTCAGCCTTGCCTGGAACTTGAGGAGACTCCAAATGTCTTGCTACATGCAACGCCATTGCTCTTTGATTGCTTGAAGGTATGGAGAAGCTTCTAGGGACAACCAATGGTGGAGGAGTTGGAAGTGGCGATGCCATGTTTGATGTCACTGAAGGGATTTTATTAGGCATGTTAAGTTCTTGATTTCTCAAGACCAGGGGAGCAGAGTGACCAACAAATCCAGAAGACTTTGTTGGTTTCACACCAAAACTACCTGGGGGTCTAGGAAGCTCATGAAGCTCACTTATCTTGGGTGAAGAAACAAGGGGAGGTGAAGCACTTGGGGATACTTTTGGAGATGAAGGTTGGGGATTTGGTAAACGAGACAGCATTCCAGAAACTATTTGAGGTAGTTCACTTGATGCAATGGGACCACTAGCATATAACACAGGCTTTGTCGATGATGACTTACTAGTTATTGGACCAGAGAAAGCATGTCTCTTAATCTTTTTGGTATCAGATGCATTAAACGTATCAAGCTGTGGAAGTGTAAGTCCCTCCAGCGGAGGAGGTAGTTGGGTGGAGGTATTATTACTGTTGCTCTCTTTTTGTACCAACTGAGCTTTTAAGAAATTCGGTCCTGACAGATTATCATCACCAGAATCCTTTTCTTCCAATGGGGAAGAGTGCCATAAGTTGTGGGTTCGTCCACTTGGCCTTGTGACTGGAACCGTGCTGCTTGTTCTTGAAGAAATCAAACCCTTTGCATCAATAGGAGTGGGCAGCACATATGTATTAGACTTCCGTGTAGTTGATGCTTGCAGTTGTCTAGCTTTTTCAGCTGGATCAAACTTCTTCTCTGCAAAAATTGGGGCCGAGTGGCTGCCTATTCTTGGTTCTCTACTCGAGACCCTCAGATCCCATTGATTTTTATCCAGATTTATCTGCAAGGAAAAAAAAATTATGAATACAATATTTGAAATTCAGGGAATAACATTCATGCTTTTGAAGTTTGGTTTCAAATCTACCAATCAAAAGGCAATGAAATCATACATCTGCGTGTTCCACTCTTGAAGCTTGAGGAGACAAAAGTCCCACTTCATCAACCTGAAAAATAAGCCAGCAGATCATAGGAACAAAAATACAACATGACAACGAAATTCAAATCACCAAAAAGGTTCACAATATGCGCACTATGTCTAACAACAATTGAAACCATCACCAGCAGTGGCACTTGCTTTGACTGAACGACCAAGCTGATTAATAGTTGGGTGGATTTAGGTAGGTTACAATTTAACATTTTAAACAGAGATAGTATAGCGCCTCGTCAAATAACACAAATTGCTAATTACATTAGACACTCACCTCCATTGAATTCCTTGATGCAGAGGTGATATCAATCCCCTGCTTGCTTGATCTGTAGTTAAAACTCAATTCTCCATCTTCATTAGAATCGTTGCTATTCTCACCATTATCCTCGCCGTTATCCTCACCATCATCCCCACCGTCATCTTCAAGTCCACTGAATTGATATTCAATATGTTGCTCCTCTGTAATAAATCTAACATGCGGCTCAACAGCCTCAAGTGATTTAAGTCCTTTCCGGAAGAAATTCAACTGATTCAAAGAACAAACAAAGAACAAGAATACTAACTTTGCATCAAACTAACGTGAGGTATTGAAATTTTAAAGTTGGTTCGACAGATAAAGAAAACCTGAGCAGCATGGTGACGAGTTGCCTGTGTTAGAAGACTTCGGGCCTGTCCTTGCTTCAGAGACTTCAATCGGAAAACACATAATGTAGCCTCCTCATCATATTCATCATGAGCCACTTGCAATTGCTGCAAAGAAAAATGTTCACCCTTCCCACGTTTTGACCTTCCTTTTTCTTTCTGTTGTGCCACCATGTATTCATACACATCTCTGAAGATTATGCAACAAAACAAATTCAGAACAAAATTCACTTCAATTAAGTAAAAATAGTTAAAAGAGAATGGAATAGACCTTTTTTCGTCGCATTGTCGTTTCATTTCCTGCACCAGATAACAAGAAAGGACATTTAGTGCAGACCAAAAAAAAAAAGAAAGGACATTTAGTGATACACAAGCAAAGGAAATGAGACCTCGACAAAGGGAACACCTCTAAGGTTCAAAAAGGTAGGTGTGGTTTGCATTGAAACTTTAAAGCCTACATCTTCACGATATGATTACAGGTTAAAGTTTTCAAAAAACTAATTGCCAAGCCTGCACCTAGCACATGGCATATTATTCTCAGACTGCTGTTTTTTTTTTTTTTCTTCTTTTTCTTGGCATGCCTAACCTATTATTCTCAGACTGCTGTTAAATGGTGCCTTATGTGCTAGTAAAAGGAGTAAGGATTTTTCTTATATTAAAAAAGGGTAAAGATTTTGTGCAAGTGTGAATGCCACAGGCACAGGAAATTCCTTCTGATTTGTAATACAGCTAGAGCACCTAATAATCAAATTACAGCAGAAACCTCTAGGATAGAAACATGTATGATAGCTGCAGGCGATTAAGGTTTTATTGAAAAAGCATCTGGTAAGGTAATCAGTAAATAAGAGAGAATCCACAAGAGCAAACCTCAACTGTTCGAAGTTCATTGAGAAGAGACTCTGATGGGTTTGTAATTGTCAAAAATATATGTGAGCGCTGCAGTAAAGAAAACAATTAGTTAATGCTAGGTTAAGGTGAAGGTATTGCAATGAAAGAAAATTATTTTAAAAAATGGCATGCTGTGCGCAAAACAACAGTAGGAACTCACATAGCTATCAACAAGTTTTTGAAGTTCATACTGCACCTTCCCAAGCATCATAAAAACTTTGCCTGCATTTCAATTAAAGTACAAGGCATATGTAATTTAAAATCCTCAAATCCAAATTCATGATTGTAATACAAATATTTGGTGTTCGACTCCAGAAAATTATTTTGCTTCTGATAACCTTAGCTATGGGGTAATAAAAATAAGACTGAAGGTTTACTCACCTCCTTCCCAAAGAAAAAAAAAAGGGTCATATACTTTGATTGACTTACCACTCTCTTCATCATCGTGCAATGCAGTTTTCTCCAGTAGACAAGCACCCATTTCACGCAGTGACTCTGAGAACTCTGAAAGTGCAGATCAAGTCAAATGGAAGCAATCTGTATTTATACGGACTCAAGAGTATAAGGCATCCAATTGATCATCTTAAAGTTGAATCTCATAAAGTTATCATTTGGAATTCCAATAAGTTCATATGATTTGCAAATACACCCAAGAATTCAGCACTAGCCATTTTTGTTTTCATCTCCTCAGAGAATATCCAACCATTTTAGAATAAGCTCTCAAATTTGCAATGATTGGTAGTTGAATATGATATTAGCTAAGAAGCTGACCCTATTAGTGCGTTCTTGGAGGAGTAAGGCATGACTTTTCTTCTTATCAAGCTTTCATGTGGGAGTGATAATATGTCAAAAGTGGTGTGTCATGTACGAAGATATAACTTTTTGTTATTGTGAAACACAATTTGCAGATGAAGTCAACAAACTTGGACACACCAAATTTCCTTTATTGAAAAAAATGTGATATCTAACTTAAAGATTAAAAACTAATGTACAAATGAAATTAAGCAGAGTATTTACCATATGCGCTGTTCGCTGTAGCAGCAGCTGCAGAAAGTAAGCCATCATAGCAATTTCTCATATCTTGCATGTCCTGCAAAAATGTACAGATCAAAAGAGTAATACCTTATCAAATATCTTACCAACTAAATTGATAAGAATCCCGTAATTAACAGTACTGTTTACCAACTACAACAAAGTTACAAACGTTCTTTTTGAACTCTTTAGTTAAGTTAGAAATATAAAGTTTCCGGATCCGTAAGTCCTTCATAATCATATCCGGCGTGCCAAGTAGTTCAATTCACAGTCAAATTAATCACCTGTCTGTTTACTGAGGCGAAGATCCAGTATTTTTCAAGAGCCCTAATAAAGTTCAAAGCATTGATTTTTTTAAATTCCGGAATGAATACTATATGAAGTTATTTTTCTCAAATAAACATAGAAAGGTCCAAATTCGCTTTTGAAGCTCGAGGAGTATTCAGCTTAGTCAAAGTTCCTAAGACAACAACTTAGACATAACAAGCAAAGTTCGAGCACAGTACAAAACTTGAAATTAATTGACAAGAAAAAGAAAAGAGTACCTGAGCAGCCTGAGCGAGCTCATCGACCTGAGCCAAAGGTTGAACGTCTCTCTTATCTTTGGCATCGTTTCTGTGCAGTTCGAATCTCCGAAGCATACCAAGCGAAGACTTCATTTCCTTAAAACCCTATCGCAATGACCGAAACAAAGACTCAGAGCGACTCAGAGTGTCGAAAATCAAATCCTTTCTTGTCTCCCTTGAATTCAAAGACGCTCGGCTCCAAATCTACGAAACGAGGACCGAGATTAATTCGAAAGCTTCCACGACATTGAAGAAGGAGAAGACGAAGGAGAAAGAGGTAAAAGCTTGGTGGATCATTCAAAACGACTCGTAGCAGATCAAGGAAGAAAGAGAGAGAAACCGAGAAAGATAGGTAAGGAAATGAAATGAGAAAACAAGAAGAAAATGAGCAAAGGGGGAAAATGGGATCATTCCCACGTCATTTACCAAAGTGAAAAAGCGCGCACTGACAAAGCGACACGTATCCTGATGGGCAATTCGGTAATCTGAGTGCTCGAGGGAGTAGCTTCAAGCATGGGAGAAATGCTTCCATTCCATGAAACAGGAATAATACTATTTTGCTATCCGGACTGAGAAGGATTATGACACGCATAATAATATTTTCACATAACATAACATTATTTGTTGAGAATAGTAAACCGTTACAACTAAGTTTTCTCCGAGCATTGGGTCGTGGCATTGTAGTGGGAAAAATACAATAGGCGTCTATCTAGGTGAGGAGATCTGCTGGAGTATGACGTGGCGGCGAAACAGTAAAATGCATTGAAGAAGCGGATGACGGTCAAAGTCAGATATTGATGACAAGGAAGAAGCGGTTCCAGAACGAAAACTTTCTTACTTTGACCGCGCCGGTGGGTGGGTCAGATCCACACACCTCCACTGATCTGAAATTATCTGTTTTGCCCCCGACTTTGGTTGAAATCCCTTGCAAGACAAGGAGCAGAGGTAAATAATAATGTAGTTAATTTGGGTTCCAGCATGCTCTGTAAAATTATTGACCACAACTTGGAGATGAGAGAGGTAGTAGGGTTTCATTATTTACATGTCTGGTAATAAATAAGCAAATAATTATCTTTCATGCATAATTAATTGTAAAACAAAGGTCACTTACGATGTGGGTTTAGTTAATCCCTTTTGTTTGATAAGAAGCAACGGGATATGGTGGTAAATTCCATCACACACGCACATATATAGAGAGAGAGGAATGACTAAAATGTAGGACTTATAGACATGATGCTCGCTGCACATGATATGGTCGCACAAGTCATTCTTTTCTAATCCAAAATTAATGAGGGTTTATAACTTTTGTACAATCATTAAGGACATTTTAGATGACTCGTAATTAGGTACAAATGAACTTAACTATCCTCTATTTAAAAATTAAAAGGGAGAGGGAGGGAGAGAGAGAGAGAGAGAGAGGGGTAATACAATGATTGAGAAGGTAAGGGTAAAATTGAGATTGGCCTTCTCCCACTACTGAGGAAGCCTTTTGAAGACACAAATTTATTTGGTCTTTGTTCAAATTTAATTATCTTTTTTCATTTATACTGTGGTTTGGTTTGAAGTTAATTATAGGATAATATAAAAGGAGTGAGTGTGAGAAATAAATATGAAAGCGATATATGGAAGATATTGTTGTTGTTTGAATGAAGACTTTGTTGGGTCAAAATTCAAAAAAGGCATGTTATACGTTTCTTGAAGCATAAGCGAGAGGAAAGAGACACAGGGACGAAAGCTGAAGCTGTCATTTTCAAAAAGCAGCTAGCCGCCTTTTGAAGCACAACATGAACCCTGAGACTCAGATCATACGTAACGTTGTCTTCCTTAGGATAGGACACAAAGCTAGCCAGCCACTGGTCGGTGCAAACATAATAAGTAACAGATGTAAGATAATTGTATTGTATCCGCGCACATCCTAATTAGCAATTTCCATGCGAAACAAATAATAGCCGGATTGCAACTATATTAAGGCATGTGAAATATTAATGATCAATTGGGGAGAAAAAGGTACGTTAAACGTACATGTTACATATTACGTACATGTTGCATGTTACATATACATGTACAGGAAGGGAAGGGAGATCGAATAAAGGAGGGGGAAATTGAACAAATGAAGGAAAGAAAGCCTCTTTGTGTTTTGTGTCAATAGATCCTATATATAATCGATATGATCTACTTTCATGCGGCTGCTGTAATTAATTAATTTTCAGCAGCAACCAGTTTTGCGGGATTTTGTTGAGAGGGTGATGAGATTGGACTGTTGTGGTGGTGCCAATTGGAGACGTTTAAGTACGATCTTAGCCTTGATTGTTTGCCTAACACACCCCTAATTCCTGATGATCTTGATCCTTTGCTCTCTTTTTTCACTAATTCGTCAGCTTCTGATATTCTCTGCTGCTGCGCCACGTAATAATCATAAACAAAACACAATTATTAATCAAATGTATTTGGCAAGGTAGCCAACAACATTGAATTACCTTGTTGGTATTCTGAGATTCCGCCCATTTCTCGGATTTGTTGATCTCATGATCATTAGCATCACCTTGAAAGAAAAGACAACATATCACAGATTATCAAATTGTTTGATAATTAGCTAATTCATGTAAAGAATTTGTGAGGCAAGGCAACTCACCGCTAAAGAAGAATTTGTTAGGGGTATGATGCCTTGATGAGTCTTGATCAGAGTCAATGAAATAATCCCTAAAACTGGGGGATCGTGGACAATGAATGAAGCTATCCTCCCTGTCACTGCTAGAGAGCATTTGTTCATCGTAGCCATCATCATCAAAATATTGGCGGCCTCCCTTCCCTAACCCTAGGCCTGCATGTGCATGTGGATGCCCCTCATTTATTCTACGCTCTTTGACCACCTTCTCCACCGGCCCTGATCTCTCTTTCTCCTTCATCATCATGTCATCCTCCTCGCCATAGTCATGCATGCCCCGTTCCGGATCCTTGCCACTATTATAATTATTAGATTCACAAGCAGAAGAAGTAGTTAGGTGGTCATGCTGATGATGTTGATGAGCATTAGCCCCCAACTTGGAAATGCCGCAACCCATGGATATCCCAAGGAAACTATAGATGGATATGCACAACAAGGAAGAGGAGGACAGACATGAACAGGGAAGAAGAGATGATCAAAACAAGATGGAGAGGTTGGGAGGGAGAGCGATCATTAATTCGATCAGCAGCCTCTCAGATAAATAAATATATATATATAATGAATCAAAATTAATAATTAATGTGAGTTTAAAATGTCGATGGAGTGCTCTGTCCAATATTGTGATGAGGAAATTAGAAACAAATTAAGAAAAATCAATTTGGATAGGAGTATTGAAATGAGGGAACCAACGAGTGTTGCGGGATTAGCTTCATAATTAACCATCAACCCTGCACTGCACTTGATAATTCTGTTTCACCAACCCATACCATACCATACGTAGCAGGTACGTGCTTACTCCTGCTGTTAGTTTTTAATTATATAATTAAGCTGTTAATTAACAACCCTCCTTTTGTTTTGTAGAGTGTCTGATGGGCCTGGGAGTTTTGGAATAATTTAGGGCCTAGAGCTAGAGCTAGGTCCGCTTACTCGTTCTTGTTTCTCTTGGGCCTCTGGCTCCATGACAAGCTTAGTACATTGCTTGTCTTCTGAGTTGCCATACCCTCCCTTGACTAGTTGACACAAATCTCTTACAAAGGAAAGAATAATGGGCATTTTGATTTGAACAAGGAAATTAAGGATGGCCCTACCACAAACAATGACTAATTATTAATTAAAGCCGACTTCACATCACAGATCACAGATCACAGATTCACAGATTCACAGAGACAGACAAAATGTAAGGAAAGAAAGTCAGCATTCTACGCCACCACATGCATTATGCATATGTTAATCCTTTGTTTTATTACTTTTCTTCCTTTAAATGAGTGTCGTGGAGAATTGAACTAGGTAACCTTGGATAACAACATCATTCATATTACTTTTCCCTATTAGACTATTAGGCTATTAGAGTAGGGAGAGACATGACTTGATCGATGTAATTAACATAATTATTATAACTCACCAAGCCAACCAATCTTATTCTCAACCTCAACCTCCCATTTTAATTGTGCTTTGTTCCTTTCCCCAGGCTCTCAGGCTCTCAGGCTCTCAGGCTCTTAGGCTCCAGCACAACACAATCAACACTCTTCTTTAATTAATTAATATTATATATACAATCATCATATTAATTAACTGGATGCCATGCCATAATGCCATTATGCCACTGAAATTGTGAAGAAGGCAGAATCTTTTTGGTTTTTAATTCCAATTATATTGAGGACTAAAACGCCAAAAAGTCATCGAGATTCCATTCCCTAACTCGATCGAAGCATATTTATTTCAATATTATATTAATTGGGGTATTGAATTGAAACATGGATCATGCGAGTGCGACTCACCCCGCATGTGCTGTGCACTGCAGCAGTATACTGTATAATAGTTTGGTGTGGGTGCTCTCTCTCTCTCTCTCTCTCTCTCTCTGTGCTCTGCTCTGCCGGCCACCAGCATCGATATCTTTCTTTATGTGAATCATGATTAGACATATAGATAATACAGAACAGAATTGAAGAACCTCTTTTTCCCTTAGCTTTATGCCCAACAAAAGGAAAGGGAAAAAAACACTTTAACCATCCATGTATGTGTCTTTGGATGCCTCTTTTGGGTGGTACTAATTGTTGCTTTCATAGCAATCAATGGACGCTTTACATGCATAAAAGCATGGCCATCATCATATATGTATGCATGTAACATTTGCCAGTTGTTTTTTTTATTAGTCTGGGTCATATCTTTTGTCTCAAAAATCATTTGCCTTTTCGTAAGGAAGGAAACAAAAGCTTCCAGATTTACTCAGAAACAATGAATGCCACATATATATATATATATATATATATATATATATATGCATTCCTCTTTTCCTCTCACTATGATTATATACCAATGCCATATATCGATCCCAAATACAGACATATGGTATGGTGAATTATTTGATGAACCCAATAAAGCAAGGTAAGGTAGGGAAACAAGAATATAATTATTAATTAAATCCACGGCGCTTCATTTTGGATTTGCCATGAAGAAGACAATAATTAATCTAGCTAGCTAATATGCTTGTTCATCGTAACTTGATAAGCCATTCAAATTAAAGATAAAATTAAGCCTTTTCTTTCTCATTTAATTTGTTGCGCTACAGTTGCATTCTCATGAAAGGAAGCTTAAAGCTATCTCTCATCTTCAGTCGTCTCAGGCAAAAATATTATATATATATGATCAAGAATAGCTATGTTAATTATCAGCAGCAGCACTGCTGTTTTCCTCCTGATCATGATCTAGCCTATTGGCATTGGAAGAGAGGTGAGTGATATCACTCGAACATGTGGAGGAGGAAGAAGGTGTAATCACCTCCACTAATCTCTGAGTCCGAGTCCTCTTGCTGTTGGAGGGTTGAGGAATAATATCTGATGATCTTTGAGGCTTTCTCTTTCTCTGAAATACGCGATACACAACCCAGTTTCCCAGTTCCCTTTTAGATGCCTGCATTATATATAACATGATGATCATCATATTAGTTATTTACTGGCTGTATTAATTAGCAAAAAGATTAATAACTAGTTACATAAATAAATACCTGGCTATGGGTTGGGTTTACTTGAGAAGACAAGAGCTGATATTCATGCATGAACCATCGAGTTTTAGTTTGAGTCTCATGGTAACGGCGCTTCCTTTGGCAGAAAACCAACGTTTTCCTGATCCCAACTGCTTCGCTGCTTTCAGGATCAACAATTTGCTTCTCTTTGCCCATAGGCTTCCAGTAACCACAGCCAGCAGCTCTCCTAGTGTCGTCAATCTCAATCGCATTTATTTGATTGTAAAAGAAATACCTCTTTTCCCTAACATCACCTCCACAACCTATACAGACAGAGAGAGAGAGAGAGAGAGAGAGAGAGAGAGATAATGGATCAATAAGCTACCTATAGCCTTTGTTTTCAACTATTCTTCTCTCTCAGTTCAATTTCAGTTGGGTTAAATGAAGTACCTGGCAAGCCCCAGGGATGAGTGTGGAAGACGTCAAAGTCGGGAATGATGGAAGCAGGCAATGGCGCGGCATGGACCTTTCTCTTCAAGTAGTGGATCACAAGCTCTTCATCCGTGGGATGAAACCGGTACCCAACTGGCATCTTTACTCCTCCGTTTATAACAAAGTTTGGTAATTTCTCCATCTATAAATCAAATATCTGATATTGGTTCTGCTGAATATAATCAATAAGACTGAAGAAGAGCAAGCCACTAGCTCTAGCTTAATTGAAGCGGAAGCAACCCATTTATACGTAGGCAGCTAGGAATATATGTTCCTGACTGTTGTACAACTGCAACAAGAGAGAGAGAGAGAGAGAGAGAGAGAGAGAGAGAGCAAAGCAAATAAATGGAAATGGATGTTTATTTAGAAAAGGCAAAAGAAGGAGACGTGTGTGGTGGGGAAACACAGAGACACTATAGCCTTTTAAATAAGAGACTAGCTAGTAGACTTGAGAGGAAATTCTAACTCCAATTCTGACTCGGGAACCCCTTCATTGACTGGGGAAATGGGGAATAGCTTTGTTTTGTTCTTGAGTTTTGACGGTCTTTGTTTTCACACAATCACAAGCGTGTGAGGACTCAACAACTTTAGCAGCTATCTGTCTTTGTATTAGTAATATTAGTATTAGTATTAGTAAAGGCCAAAGTTGAAATTCCAATCATCTGCTTTTTTTTGGTCAATAAGCATGCGCTTCTTCTTCTTCTTCTACTAGTCTGTCTGCCTGTCACTTCATGTGTGCCACATTTTTTTTTTCGGTTGTGCTGCTGCTGAATGCTGATGGAAACATTTCAATTTACAAAGGCAGGCAGGCAGGCAGGCAGGCAGGCAGGCAGTCTTTAAAGTTTAATCTTTATCTATCTGCTTGGTCTCGCTTACCTACTCTTGTTTTAACTTGTACGACCTTTTATTATTATCTTGACTTAATTTATGTGGCTGGCTTTTTGTGGACAAATGTATCTAATTAAACATACTCTAGTCTGTCTGTACGCTGTAGATGCATTTCAGTTTCAGAGATGATTAACCTAGTTTCAATTTTTTCATGATTCCTTGCAAAGTACGTATAATTATTCAATAAAGATCATCAGAAATGTATCAAATCAAAAGAAGATGATTTTCCATCACAATTCTTTATTTTTTTAATGCTTACATCTCATTTATTATGTATCTCTATTATTTATATAGTGAATTTTGAGGAAATAGCTTTTGGCTGCAACCAACCAGATGCTTCCCAGATGTTTCCCAGATGGGCCAGCCAACTCCAGCGAAGAGATTAATATATATATATATATATATATATATTTTAGCCTCGGCTCTTCATAAATGGCCTAGGTCAAACCTGTTGATCATGATAAGATGGATACAACAACAAATACATCATATCCATATACCATAATAAACAAACAATTTAAGAGAATAGCATTGTCCCCTCCCTCCTTCAAGTTGAAAGTTGAAACTGTGAACACCACCACACATCATACAACATGTACATCTCTAGATGCGTGTTTGAAAGTGAAACACATCGATTTCGACCAAAACCAAGAAAGAAACAAATTCATATATATATATATATATATGCTAGCTCCACCTTGTAGTGTGGTCTTGTCTTGAAATTGTTGACATAGACAGAGTGCTGTGACTGTGAGATTCGTTACTGTGGTGGTGGTGGAGATGCCCATCATCATCTAATTTTTCTATTTCTTATTATATCATCTCACATTAATGCTATCTTCTTCTCTATCTATTAATATTCAAGAAGCTAGCAAGCCTAGCTACCTGTTTGCTACTTTGTTGTGTGTCTGCCATTCTGTATTTGAAAATCTAATTTAAACAAAATACCATCTTCTTCTCAAACTCGACTACACTTGGTTTTCTTCTGAACTAAATTATAAATACATGCTTTCCAAGCTTCTATTCTATATATGCATACAGCAAGCCACCATGGGCCTATGATCATCTTCTCCGCTAATTAGTAATACTAATAGTTTAGTTTAGGTCTTTGATTAATTGATCAGGAGCTGCTGCTACTACGAGCAGGTGTGGGTGAGGGGTAAGTTCAATACTTCCATTGGACTAAGAAGGTAAAGCAAGAAAGCGATTTGGAATGTGAATCCCACATCCTCAAATCAGCTTTTTCTTTATATTATTGGATAGTGGGAATCAACCCCCAATTGTGGAACTATTATCACGTGTGTCATAGCGTTATTGATGAGAAATAACAAAATAGTATTTGAGAGAGGGGCAGCTACCCTTCATAATCATCCTTAGTCATTTTGGTTTATTAGCATCTAAGCCCATTAAGAGCATCTTGAAGGGAAGAGGCAAAAGAGTAGGCAAGCTTTTTATAATAAAATATCATCTTCATTCTCTTACCTACTTTCTATAAAATATATTATTAAAAGTAAAAAATAAAAAAAATATATATATAATATTAGTTTGTAGACTTGCGTTGCCTAATCACTTGGAGTGACCAACTTTTTTCATGAGTCAAATGGGTAGGTAACATGCCACTTAGGTTGTTATAGTATAATTTTGCCTATTTTATTTGCATACTCCCTTGGAGATGCTCTAAGCAAACGAGGCATAAAGAAATATCACAATCTGGGTTAAGCCCATATTAAGATTGGGCTGCAACAAGCCCAATCTTATGAAGAATAATACAAGCAATAAGCCCGGATGCACTATTCTCTTGCCATTCCAAAGCAGCAAAAACCATTTCATACGCTAATTAATATTAATATTAATGTATTGGTATTGCCAGGACACAAAGCACAAACCAATAATGCAACAAGTGAATCACAGCACACAATCAACCACTTTTGCCTTCCAAAAACCGACCGATGATAGATGCGCAAATAATCATTCATCTCGCATAAAAATAAAAAAAAATCATTCATCCGAAAATGATACTATGATACTATTCTACTTGGGGAATATATTGTTTTTGGTTTCTTCTCATGAAAAGGTTCCTCTTACTTAATCCTCCATCTCAATTTTTTCTTTTTCAATTAACTATCTCCACCAATTACAAAATAAATGAAGTCCAGACCTAGTGAGAGAGAGAGAGAGAGAGAGTAGAACTTGGAACTTGGAACTTGGAAGAAGGAAGAAAATAAGCTGCTCAACTAATTAACATAGAATTTCTGAGATACACGTATGGATGGATAATGGAGGAGCGCACAACGTTTGTGCTATATAAAACAAGACCAAATTATGTACAACGAGCATAGAATAAGATGCGTCAACCTCCAGACTTGAGTGATGAGTATAGGCCCTAAAGAAAAAGAGAAAATATATTTGAAACAAGCAAAGGGCAAGTGGCAATCCTTGTATCAGAGCTGTATCAACTCTGGAATCAGCTTCAAAAGAAAAGAAAGCTCCCTCTGCGAGAACTCTGGCTTTGATTTCACCTGCATCTGCATCTTCCCGTCTCCTTCCAACAGATTCTTGTCCCCCCCGTCTTCAGCTGTTGTTGGCTTAATCATATCCGACAGAGCCTCCGTGATCTCTTGCACAAGATCTACTATCACTCCCTCGATTCCCATTAGGTGCTGCATGTAAACAGCTTCCGCCACATTGCTGCAATTTCATCATGTATTTCATCAATTTAACATTCATAATTCTCAAAGTTTAAACCAGAACATGGGCTAAAGCACATGCTAAGTAAGAAATCTGTTGAGCAAATCAAAGTCCATATGCTTACTTCAACTTTCCGTATGTTAGGAGTGAAAGCTTGGCCTCCTTGATCTTGGTCAGTGCCCCAGGATTTCTGAACACACCCTTAACCTCCGACACAATACCTTGCAAACCACCCTCCAAACACAACTTTATGGCTTCCTCCAAAGAATTCCTTCTCACATCATAGTAAAGCTCCGTCCCACCATTTGTCAAGAAAAAAACCTGCCATCATCAATTGATTCAGCAACCTTAGTAATTCACACCCCATTTCTAGAATAGTTGGCAAATCATCAGTAATTGATCAACATATATGATATATAAGACAACTTTGAAGCAAGCAATTATTTGGCAAGTGCTTACAGGATAGGTGCTCTGCAACTTTTTAACAAGCAGCGCAGCATCGGGTTGGAAGCTTGAGAAGATGATGGGCCTGTCTTTGGCGTAGTTAAACACCACCTGTCCAACAAAACAAAATTAAGAGACTTCAATCAGTACCGATTATAAAAAGTTATGATTAAAGAATTCTATAAATGATCAAAAGGGCATGATGTGCTGCGTACTTGCAAGATGGCTTGAAAGACGTTGATGAGATAGTCCTGTTCGTAAACAATGCAGTCGTCGAATTTCAACTCGATGTTGAAGCCCAGGGAAGGTTCAACCTGCTCGAAGGCTTCTTGGAGTGTGCAGAGAGAGTCATCTTTTTCAACATCCCATCTTACTATTTTACCATCTTTGGTTTTCCTCAACAAAGTTTTTCCTTCCTTTCCTGCCTCTCTTTGTGGACCGTAGCAAAGAAACTCCGACAGACACAGTTCCGTTACTCTCCTCTCAAACACAGTCCCCTGTTGCAAAATCAAAATCGACCAAAACATTAACCAAGTTTAAAATTTCTACGTACGTAATAATCAGAAAAAGGAAAATTCAATAATAAGAGAAGGGGGTGGAGAAATAAAGCTTACATTTTCTTCGGAGAGGATGAAGTTGTCGTGGAAAATGACTGGGCAGTCATCTTTGGTTACCTACAAAAAGCCACCACATTGGGTTTCACTTTCTTGTTTCATTTTTCCTTGTTTTTTTTTTTTTTGGGTTTCTTTTCTTCTGTTTTTTTTTTTTTTTTTTTGCCCCTTTTATAGCTTCTTTCACCTCCATTCTTGTGATTTCAATCCAAATTCCAAAATATTAAGGAAGGAAAAACAAATGCAAAGAAAAGGAGATATAATCAGTACCATTTCAAACTCAAAAGAAAAGTTTCGGGCAGACAAATCCCACACAAATACAAACGATAGAAAACAGAGGACTCGAAGAGCTTTAACCCCACTCAAATCGGAAAACCAAACAAATCCACCGGAAAATTAAAAAAGAAGAAGTTGAATTTACAGAAATACCCTCAAACAGGGGCGGGTTTTACTGCGGACTCGATCAAATTCATTCACATTCTCATGCGCATACCGACAACAACAACAACGCGTATGCGGCGACAGACAGCTAAAGCGGTGGAATTCAAGTTTCGACAATTTGCATGCTTAAAAATAAATAAATATCAAGCGAAAAACAGGAAAAGCCCACCAAAAAATCCAGAGACACACAGGCATTGTTGGGTTGGGTTCATTGAATTGAATTGAGAGACAGAGAGAAACAGAGGAAATAATAGCAAGCAAGCAAGCTCTCTCACCTGAACATCAAATTCGACGAAATCGATGGGGAAGTTGGCAGCTGAGTTGAAGGATGCGATGGAGTTCTCTTTAATGGCTCTCATTCTCCTATCCGACGACTGTAACGCGTTCATACCATTCCCTCTGTGTCCTATCACCAGAAACTTGGGTATCCTTGATGCCACCCGGCCCATTTCCACTCCTATAAAATAACACCATGTTCAAAAAGTAAATCCTGTTAATATCTCTAAAATACACAAAAATTGAAACAAATTAATAAAGATTAGTAATTGAACACGTATATGTATTATGTACCTTTGGAGAAGCGGGTGGAATAGAGCGCCAGAGAGGCATTTTCCGGCACCTGGTCGAGGTTGGGGACGTCGGAGACATGGACAGCCTTGAGAGCCATTTTT